AATTGAGGATCGCATTCTCCAATGAAGACCTGACATGGGTTCATTATCCCCGTAATGATGTTCTAGTGATAACCCTGCAGATCGGGGAATTCATTGTGAAGAAAATATTGATAGATTAAGGGAGTTTTGTAGAAAGTAGGTACTATAGGCTCTTTAAGAAGCCCTACTGGCAATTGATTCACTACTCTACAGTTTCAATTCAAGTCTAGTTTTTCCCTTGGAATTTTTTTTTTACCTATAAAAGCCAGAGCAAAAGTCTAGCAAGTCAAATTGCTAGTAGTTAATGTGCAATCCCCATATAACACCATAATGGAAATGGCGTGGCTACATCAAATGGGGGCGTCCCATTCACTTTTCACCAAGTCATACGCTTCCCAGAAGGAGACATCATAAGGACAATAAAAAGAGATCAGACAATAGCAAAACGGTGCATGGTAGTATCAACCGCAAGGCCAAGAGTACAAGAAGTTCAGGTCGATGAATCAGAAGAAGAGGAGATTAACCCCTAGCTTAGCGACAAAAGTGTAAAAGAACTCGAAAAAATACAAATCGACCTGCAAATGAGGAAGATTCTTCCTCGTAGGAAAGAGTCTCACCTTAGAAGAAAATAGGCAATTGGTTGACTTTTTACTTCGCTACAAGGATGTTTTTGCGTGGACCCCATATGAAATGGAAGGAATCAGTCTAAGAGTGATGTACCACAAGCTCAACGTGAATCTAGGCTCATGGTCGGTGATACAGAAAAGTATTAGATCGGCACCACAACACGTGGAAGCCGTAAAAGAGGAACTTGCGAAATTGCTCAAAGCAGGTGCCATTCGCGAAGTCCAATACTCGAAGTGGCTATCTAACATTGTTGGGAAGTGGAGAGTTTGTGTGGATTTCACACATGTAAATACGGCATTCCCCAATGACAGTTTTCCCTACCCAAAATTGACCAACTAGTAGACGTGACATCCGGACTCGAAAGGATGTGTTTTCTAGACATACAGAGGATATCACCAGATAGCTATGCACTCAGAGGACCAGGAGAAGACGTTCTTCATTACCCCCATCAGACTGTTCTACTACAAGGTAATGCCATTCGAGTTGAAAAATACAGGGGCTATGTATCAACGGCTGGTTACGAAAATGTTCAGTAAACAGATCGATCGAAATCTTGAAGTTTACATTGATGATATGGTGATCAAGTCAAGGGGGGCCAAGAATCATCCAAATGATCTCCAGGAAACATTTAGGGTACTTCAAAAATACAAGATGAAACTCAATGCGGCAAAATGCACCTTTGAGGTTGGGTTTGGGAATTTCCTCGGATACATCGTTACTTACCAAGGAATAGAAGCCAACCCTGATAAGATTCAAGCGCCACTCAATTTAACTCATCCCACATCCGTAAAAGAAATCCAGACGGTTACAGGAATGGCAGCGACACTTAACAAATTCATCAGCCGATCATTAGACCTATGCCAACTGTTCTTCCAATTGATAGCAAAAGAAATCTCGATTTGAGTAGACTTCAGAGAGCAATCTCACGTAACAAGAATTGAAAGCCTACTTGGCCAAACCACCCTGCGCACAAGCCCCGAAATTGGGGAAAAGTTGTATGTATACTTAGTTGTATCCAATCATGCTGTAAGTTCGGCACTCGTCAGAGAGTTTTCGAATGGGAAAACACCGATCTTTAGTCATGTTTGCATTTCTGTGGCGGGTTTTAAAGATAACTTTGACTATGACTTGTGTTCATATGATATTTCCTTCTTTCAGACAGTTTTGTCCACTGGTTCTTTTCTATGTCATATAACATGACTAAAGAGGAGAATAGGATGGATGATATGATGAAATTGCTTATATTTGCTTTTCCATGTGCATTTGTTGGATGCTCGCTTGAAGGGAGTGTTGTCACCACCCGCACCCAAAAAAATTCCAGATTCTAAGGTAATCCATCCATCAGGGCATCAAATATTCTTCTTGGATTGTTGCCTCGGCCTCCTATAGCTGTCATTCTCTATCATGCACTGTCAGATTTGTACCAGAAACTTGAAAGGTGATCGATCAACTGTAGATTCTATGTCAACCTTTTCCATTTATGGTGAATTTCTGTCTATTCTTTGTTCATCATAGAGAAGCAATCGGTTACACGAATGGTTAGGTTGTACAGCATAAGTCCCAAAAGAAGAGGTGAGTTCCAAACTATATGTACTGAGTCGCCAGTGATGGAAAGTTACCTGATTATACATAATTTACATGCCAAACTATAGAAAATTCATTGCTGGGAAGAAACGTTTATATATATATATATATTGAAATGGTGATTTTCAACTGATTTGTATATGAATCATTTACTGGGGGCTCTCTCTCTCTCTCTCTCTCTCTCGACTTTGTGGAGCACTGTGTTCTTGGTAAATAGTTGCGAAGACCTGGTCAGCACGACCCCCTTTAAGTGGAGCACCCCATCTCACGAAGCTATGGGGCTATTATGATGTGTTCCTTAAAGAGAATTGTATTGCGTCCTAGGTATTTCTACCTAGTTTAGTGCCGTAAGGTCAATGAAGTAACTTACTGGGTAACCAAGTTGGTGGTTATAACTATAACTGTCCTAAGGTAGTAAAATTCCTTATTGGGTAGTCTTTGATTGTCGGATAAGTTTTGACCTGCACGAAAGGTGTAACAATTTGGGCTCTCTCTCTTTCTGCATTTGTGGTTCATGTGATTTGCAGGGCAACCCAGGTACTCATAATGCTTGGGTACCTGTAAGTTTTGGAAGCAATTGATGAAAACAATGAAAGATGAAGGATATGTGCAATATCAAACCTAAAAATATAGGGGTCATGGATAGTAGTAGGTTTGTTCTTTTTGATTTGTGTGCTAGCTAGCATTTTCAAAACCAAAGTTTCTTCAACTAGGTGAAAAATCTCACCTAAGATTTTTCCAAAATATTTGTATCACTAGGCAACAAAATTAAAAGAGGGTTGTTATATATCACGGGATAGATTTTATTGTTTTTGTCATATTTTACAGATTCACACAACATATATTGTGTGCATGCATGTGCACCCAAGCGCGCGCACACACATATATATATAAATATAAGACCTATTATATTTAGAAAATAATGAAATGGTAAATCTAGATGTACGGTGTGTGTTGAGTAGATCTACATAGAGATGAAAAGAAAAGAAAAATACAAAATTTTCTGGTAACAAATATTAAAAAAAAAAGATTAATATATTTTTTTGATGCAACAATCAGTTTTAAGGAAATATAATTTGGAAGGCCTTGCACAAAGCTGAGGAAATGCTATTTACCCTAAAAAAATATCCTGAAAATAAAGTGTATAGTGTAAATTTAAAATTAGTGATATAAATTATATTCAAAATATGGTCCACAAATATATATATTGATAATTTTTCTGAATGTAAGTATTGTTGCAAAGGAAAACATTAACAAATCCTTTGAGTTCATTCGGATCTAGTGGTGAATGCTTGACCAGTATGCAAACTTGGAAATTGCTCCAACCTCTTTGTTCTTTCTCTGTGGTTTGCCCTACATAATTTTGCTAGCTTATTTACATGGACGCCTTCTAAATTATTGACAAATATTATTTTAATTTTTTAAACTATAAAAGTGAATAAATGGATCTCTTAAACTATTGAGAAGTATCAATTTGTCCCTCTAAAGTTGACGTATTTCACTTTGATCCCTTTCGTTAACGGTCCAATTTGTATGTTTTTATAATTTAGGAACATTTATGCATTTTTATAATTTAGAAGATAAAATGATATTTCTCAATTGTTTAAGAGATCTATTTATATATTTTTATAATTTAAAGAGTCAAAATAATACTTCCAATAATTTAAGGAGTTTTTGTGTAAATAACTCTACGTTTGCCACCAGAATGCCATGTGCAAGATCTCCAACAGTTGCTCAAAATGAGCAGAATTGAAGTATTCATCCAATTCACGGGCCACTTGTGACCTTATAGTTTGTTTCTTGTCAATTTAATCATAATTTTAATTTTATCGATTTTCTCTTTAATTTTTTTATATTATATTAATTTAGATTATATTAATTTAGTTCAATTGATAACTTTTTAAGGAATTAGATTAAAGTCAAAAGGTAAATAGTGTATTCACTCCCCTTGGACTGATCAAAAGGTTGATGTCTAATTTGAAACAATTAATTTCCTTTCAAAATGACCACTTTGTCATTGATTTCAGTCCAATTATTAAGGGACATTATTAAATAGAGTAAATTAATTAAAATTAATGAACTAATTTACAACACCACAGTATGATTTTTCCCTTAAAAATTTAACAATTTAACAATCTAATCGTGAAGTTTTTTTCTTTTTGATTCTTTTCAATAACCTAGGGAGACGAAATTAGCAGCAATTGCATCATGGTAAAATTTAGGATAAATTACGACCACACTCTTTAAGATTTATTTAAATTACAAATTATCTTTTATAATTTTAAAAATTACATTATGCCCCCTAAGGTTTATAATTTCATAACAAATAGGTTCTTTTATTAATAAATTATCAAGTTAATTAACAATTTTTAATGATGTTAAAATTTTATTTTAATTAATAATTCAAATAATTTTATTATTGTATAGGTGAACAGTTAGAAATTTCACTTTTTCAATTAATTCTGTTAAATAAAAAATTATGACAGAGAGGTATTTGTAATTTTTCAAATCACAAGAGGCAATTCCTATTTTAATCAAACCTCAAAGGATGTATTTGTAATTTACCATAAATTTTACTATCACACATTTTTAAAAAGTACATCATAGCTACATTGCATTGTAATTTACATCATTTTGGACATAATCATAGGCCCAATAACATGGAAGACCAGAACCAAAATCATCAAAATGAGGGACCCAACTACATTGTATGTACGAAAGATTATTTTCTCAGTATTTATTTACTCAATACTTCAGGGATGAACAAGCTAGAATAATATCATTGGGGATTTAAAAAGAAAAAAGAGGGGTAAAAAGAGAAACCAATTCTGATCTTCAATCATGAAATTTAACTTTAGTACCCAATACTTCAGATTTTATTGTATGCATTGACAACATTATACATTTAAAATGGATAAAATGGCCATTCATATATAATAAAGAAATAAGTTGACATATGCATCTCAAAAGCTCTACTCAATTGTTGAATGCCAAATTTTTTTTTGAGAAGACATAAATAACTAAAGCATTTATGAAGTACACTAACCAGCCAATCCAAGATGACACTCCCACAATCCAACAGAGGAGCCCCTTTTCACATATTTTTGGCAAGCAAAATGACCAACCCCTCGAATATCATTCATAGATGTAATGTAACTCACAACAATCTTTCGCATCGTTCTCAGCATGAGTTATTAACAATGTAGACATTATCACACTTCATCTCCCTGATTTGTGCATCAGAATATTGATAGTACTGTGAGAATGAAAGCAAATCAGTCTACTAGTCTATAAACCAACAAACCTATCAAGGAACAAGTAGTCTGAACAATAATCCAGATTTAAAGCACCTGAAAGACCACTTTATATATGGAACCGTCAAAAAAAAATGCACTGTTCCAGTCAACCGGTGGGACGACCGGTTAGCCCAAATTTGCCTGCCTTGGACAAAGTTTTCAAAAGTCAGTAGAATTAATTTTTGAAAACCGTAAACAAACACCATGTGCAAATCAAAGCCTAGAACTAACGTTCCGAAGCTCTACCAAATAGAGCCTAAGAAAATGGCAGTCACCAATTAAAATATTGTGAAGAAAACACCAGAAGAGAAAATGTCTTTTAACATATGCCACCAACTCATGGAATCTGAGAAGCTTTCATTGTGAACCACATTCAACAATAATGCCAGACAACCTACTTCCCGTAGCTACTCTGGAGCCAAATAAATGACTATAACATCTCTCCCTAGCATTAATTTCCAAACCAAAACAAACCAAACTAAGCCTTGTGTTGCAATCAAGAGCTGCAGCTATTCTCCCTCTTCTTTTCTCTCTCTCTCTGTTCTCTTGTTCTTTTCCATCTTCTCTTGTTATACATCTTGGTGAGTTTCCTACTTCCTCTACATTGCTCACCCCCTTCCATTCTATCCCTTGATCATTGTTTTCCCACTTACAATCTTCTTATCTAATCATTTTTGTCCCATCTCTCTAATCGTGTTTCCTATTGTTTACATCCGATCACTGTATGATTTTGCAATAGAAGCCTGAATAATTTCAACTATAATTTTAGATTTAGTGTTGCTTCGAGTTATGGCAATTTTTCTTCTCTTTAATTTTGCAGTTGTTACATGTCAATTGTTATGTTGCTTGAAGTAAATTGTGACATTTTAAAAACATTAGAATTAAGTTTATTGCATGTCTTAGAAATTTTCAGCATGTTCTCTGTTTTATTGACCATTGTTAATTGTCAATTCCTTGTGAGTGAATGGAGATTTAACTATCTATTTAAGCCAGATTTACTGATATTTCATTCTCCAAAGAAAATGCCAGAACTATTTATAGAACATAGGTTGCATCACTTTCATATCTTCTTCAGTAAAGCATGTCATGATCAGCTAGACTAAGACTTCTGCATAAAGGGACACCACGAATCAACTTCGTGGAATTTATTTTGAACAACTATTTTCAAACAGAATCCCCACTTCTATCTTCAAACAAAATTAATCAGACCACACATCAGCCCATAAAAGGTTCTTTCACATATAGGTTTATAAAGTCAAGGTTTAAAACCAACATTATTTTTAGGGCTGTTAAATGAACCAAGCTACTCAAGTTTGACTCGTGTTTGGCTCATTAAAAGCTTGTTTGAGATCGACTTATTATGTAAACAAACCAAACTTAAACACAATTTTAAGCTTGTTAAGTTTTCAAGCCAATCTTGAATAACCTATTACTTGGTTCGATAAGCTTATATATACTATAAAAATCCAAGCTACTCGAGCCCGACTTGTGTTTGGCTCGTTAAAATCCCGTTTGAGATCGGCTCCTTATGTAAACAAACCAAACTTGAACATAAGTTTAAGCTCGTATGATTATTAAACCAAGTTTAAACAACCTACTGCTGCTACTACTACTACTCGGCTTGTTTTCAACCCTATTTTTAATTGTTGACATTAATATTTGAAAGCTTAATGCTAGAAAACAATCATCACCATTCAAACAAAAGTAGATAAACTATTACATTAATGTAATGGGAAACATACAACAAACTATAGATATAAAGAAAAAAGTGATGGCAAAGAATTGTTCTTACTTTACAATTTCTTGGTTATCCTTGCCAAACTTCTCCACGGCATACCTAATAAAATCACGGCCATAACTGTTCTCAAAACAAGTAATATCAAACTTGTTATT